CTCCCTTCTCATTTGGTGGTCAAAGTATTTGAGCTTCAGCTTCAGTATCTGGCCTTCCAGGGAACAGTCAGGGTTGATTTCTTTTAGGATTGACTGATTTGATCTCCTTGCAGTTCAAGGGACTCTCAAGAGTCTTCTCCAGCACCATAATTCAAAAGACTATTCTTCAGTGCTTGGCCTTCCTTATGGTCCAACTCTCGCAGCCATACTGATTTGTCAAAGGTTTACCCCATTGAAAGGGGAAAATTCAGTGCAAAAATTGATACCCAAATCAAACTCTCCAAAACCTTTTTTTTTAATCCTAGGTATCATTCAAGGCACTGTGATGCATCTACTGCAGGTCCATGTGTAGGGCAATATGTGTACCTCTTAATTAAGTAAATTGGTCCTTAGAATGGGGTGAAAAGATCAATCCTGATCCAAAGAAGACCTCATTTTGTTGTGTTAGAGCCAGACTGACTTAGAAATAATTCAGGTGACTTTAAACAGCAGGATATTTTTAGAGGGCAGTATTATTGCTTCGGAACTGCGGTGGCTCAAGTGGTTAAGACGCTAAACTGCAGGCTTTGGAAGGTCAGTAGTTCAGCAGTTCGAGACCCGAGTGTGCCGCATGACGGAGTGAGCTCCCGTCTCCAGTTCCAGCTCCTGCCAGCCTAGCCGTTCGAAAGCAAGAAATTGCAAGTAGATAAATAGGTACCACTTTGGTGGGAAGGGATAGATAAATAGGTACCACTTCGGTGGGAAGGTAACAGTGTTCCGTGCGCCTTGGTGTTTAGTCATGCCGGCCACATGACCACGGAAACGCCTTCGGACAGCGCTGGCTCTTCGGCTTTGAAACGGAGATGAGCACCGCAACCCTAGAGTCGGATTCAACTGGCTTTCGAGCAAGGGAACCTTTACCTTTACTAAAGAGGGGTACAGGGGCGGATTAACCATTAAGCAGACTAAGCAGGTGCTTAGGGCACCAGGGCCAAAGGGGGCACCACAAAGTCGGGGAAAGGGCGAAAATCTTAGTTTGTACAGTATGTTGTGTCATCACACGAATAAATTTCTGTATTGCTTCAAGCTGCATTGTATATCTGGTCCGGCAGAACCACTAAAACGGACTGGGTCAGTGTGGAAAGGAGGGGGGGCACCAAGATTAGTCAGTGCTTAGGGCACCAGTGAGCCTTAATCCGCCCCTGGGGCTGTACCACTTTTCCACCCTCTTTCCGCTGCGATGGACTAGGATTTGGGAGACTCGAGTTCGAATGCCCGGTCGCACACAGACTCAGCCTAGCCTACCTGACAGGGCTGTTGTAAGGGTAAAATGGAGGGGAAGAGAATGAGGGACGTCGCCTTGGGTCCTTTGTGGGGGAAATGGCAGATAAGAAGAAAAAGAGATTGGATTTATACCCCGCCCTTCACTACCCAAGGGAGTCTCAGAGCGGCTTACAAACTCCTTCCCCTCCCCACAACAGACACCCTGTGAGGCAGGTGGGGCTGAGAGAGCTCTGACAGAAACAGCTGTGCCAGAACTATGGCTTGCCCAAGGTCATCCAGCAGCTGCATGTGGAGTGGGGAATCAAACCCGGTCCTCCCAGATTAGAGTCAGCGCACTTAATCAGTACACCGAACTGGCTCTAAATGAAAAATAATCAATTATATGTCTTCTCTGATCCTACCTCCATACACACACCTGGTGGCTGTGCTGCTGTTTTGCTATCTCCCCCATTGGAATGATTTCCATATAATCCTTTGTTGCAGTTCTCTTCTCCACTGACACCACACACAAACACATACAAGTAATCATGCCTTCCTCCAGACTGCTGGCTTTCCGGCACCCCGCTAAACTTCACTTTTGGGGCCCTGGCCACTTCTAGTTCACAGCTTCCCTAATGTAAATGTGCAAGACTCTTAAAACTGACCAACTTTACTTTTTTGCATTTCTCGTGTTTCTAAACGCATAGCTTTGCAGACCCAAGAGGCGGTGCCGCACGGCTGTTTCGCACTTTGTGCCGAGGCAAACCTGGTATTGTCACAGAGCACCTTCTCCTGCCTCGCTCTGTTCCTTCCCCCGGCTCCTGACCTCACCTTCGACCTGCGAGAGAGTTGCCACCTGTTTTTTGGATCCCAACCCACAGTTTGAGAACCGTTGCCTTACCTGTACATGTCTTGCCTACTCCCTTAACAGAATCCCCCTTATGCCTCATGTGAGCCAGTTTGGAGTAGTGGTTAAGTGCGCGGACTCTAATCTGGGAGAACCGGGTTTGATTCCCCACTCCTCCACTTGCAGCTGCTGGATGACCTTGGGCAAGCTGTAGCTCTGATAAGAGCTGTTCTTGAAAAAGAGCAGTTTCTGTCAGAGTTCTCTGAGCCCCACCTACTTCACAGGGAGTCTGTCGTGGGGAGGGGAAGGGAAAGGAGTTTGTCAGCCGCTCTGAGACTCCTCTGGGTAGTGAAGGGCGGGGTATAAATCCAATCTCTTTAAAAAAATTAAAAAAATAAATCCAATCTCTTCTTCTTTTAGGCCCCCCCGCCCCTGTATAGCCCATTTACTTCCCAAAATAACATCATCTTGGAAGCTTACATATAACCCTCTCATTGCAGCTTCACCCACCCTACTGGTTCCCCCCCCCCTTAGGCCTTCCTTATGCTGTATCCCTTAATGTTTCAGATGCAGAAATGGGGAGACTCCTGTTAACTTCTCCCACCCCCGATTCTCCTTCCAATGGTTGCTGCCCAAGAACAGGGCCTGCTGCCCCAGTGAAAGCTCTGGGTTCCCCCCGTGCTTTTCATTCACTCTTCTAAAAGCCACAGAAGTGCTTGTTTGTTTAAGCAAAAGATAGACGAGAAATCTAGCAATTGTCCCCTTGCCCCGGATAGCCCAAGCTAACCTAGTCTCGTCAGATTCAGAAGCTAAGTAAGGTTGGCGCCAGTGTTCCCTCTAAGCTGAGTTAGTGTGAGCTAGCTCACAGTTTTTCAGCCTCCGGCTCACATATTTTTGTCTTCGCTCAGGAAGGATGGCTCCAGAGCAAACTAATTTATGTAGTAGCCAAATCACTTGCTCACAGGTTTTATGCCAGTAGCTTACAAAGTAGAATTTTTGCTCACAAGCCTCCACAGCTTAGAGGGAACACTGGTTGGCGCTGGTTAGTATTTGGATGGGAGACCGCCAAGGAAATCAAGGGTTGCTACCAGCAGTGTTCCCTCTAAGCTGAGTTAGTGTGAGCTAGCTCATAGTTTTTTAGCCTCCAGCTCACACATTTCTGTCTTAGCTCAGGAAGGATGGGGCTCCAGAGCAAACTGATTTATGAAGCAGCCAACTCGCTCGCTCACAACTTTAATGCCAGCCGCTCACAAAGTAGCATTTTTGCTCACAAGACTCCACAGCTTAGAGGGAACATTGGCTAGAGGCAGGCAGGGGGCAAGCCACCTCTGAACATTTCTTGCCTTGTAGACCCCATAGAGCAGGGGTGTCAAGCAGACGGCCTGCGGGCCAGAACAGGGCGCTTATCTGGTCTGCGAGCAACTGATCGTTACTTTTCTTGCCAAATGACAGAGGCTGTGCATTAAGTCCCTTTTCTTGCCAGATGACAGAGGCTGTGCATTATGTCCCAGTGCTAAGGAGTAATGGGCGGTAGAAGTCGGAGGGGTGGGCATTGGGGAGGTACTTAGAGGAAATACTGTAAAAGTGTTACCACTTAAAGCGTGTTTGTATTTTGAGTAAAAATAATATCAATTGTGTTTGGCTTTTATAAAGTTTATGTCTCCTGTTCCTGGTGTTACATTTTACGGTACACGTGGCCCGGCCCAACAAAGGTCAGATCTGAGCCTTGTACGCAATGCTCCCTCTGAGCTGTGGAGTCTTGTGAGCCAAAATTCTACTTTGTGAGCAACTGGCATTAAAGTTGTGAGCGAGCGATTTGGCTACTGCGTAAATCAGTTTGCTCTGGAGTCATCCTTTCTGCGGGAAGACAAAAAATGTGTGAGCAGGAGGCTAAAAGACTGTGAGCTAGCTCACAGTAACTCAGCTTAGAGGGAACACTGCTTGTAACCTCTGCATAGTGTGAGCATAGGTCAGCTGTGACCTGATAGCAAAAAAAACCCCCAATTGTTGCCTCTCTTTCTTAACCTGCTGAGTTTGTAGAATCACCGCTAACATTCCAACTCATCCTGGAGAACTGTGCAATCAACTCTATGGCGTGCCACAAGCAATGGGTTGGGTGGATTGCACATAGGTGCTTATGGAACGAGTCGCTCTGGCAAGCCAGCCAATCCACACACTACGGGAGGAAGCAGTGAGAGAAGGTCTATGCAAGGTCCCTTCCCATTTTGTCCTGGCAGAAAGTTCTTTTGTGTCTCCAGCTATTACAGTCAGCCGGGCCCTGAACGGAGAATAGCCCCTTGTCCAAAGGTGGTTCGGATGAATTCCTTTGTTGTTGCTTCTTCTCGCCACTCGACTTAGCTTCCCTGCTTCCTTGTCGCCCGAGCAGAAAACTGCGAGTGGAACTCCAGGGGGCGGGAAGGCTGTGAACCTCCTCTCCCGGAGAGGCCGGCTGAGGCGCTTGTGAGGTCGGCCATGGCCAAGCTGCACGGGCTGCAAGCCGACTACGCCTTCCGGGGCGTGGAGCACGTGGTGCGGATGACGGTGGAAGGGAACCTCCTGGAGGTGGAAGTGGAGGACCGGCTGACCACGGACCAATGGCGAGGAGAGTTCGATGCAGCTTGTGAGTAGCGCGGGGATCGTGACAAGTGGTGGGGGGAGGGGGGAGGATTCCCCCCCCATAGCAGGGGAAGTGGTAAAGGGCAGCCTAGTGCGTACACTGTCTATCGTGTAGCACTCTGTTCAGATCTTATGGCAGGTGGGAAACAGCACGCATGGCAAAAGGCACTCAACTCATCTGGAGGGGGCGTAGCTCAGTGGTAGAGCCTCTGCTTGGCATGTAGAAGGTCCCAGGTTCAATCCCCGGCATCTCCAGTTAAAAACAGACAGGTGATGTGAAAGACCTCTGCCGGAGGCCCTGGAGAGCCATGAAGTGGGGCTGTAGCTCAGTGGCAGAGCCTCTGCTTGGCATGTAGAAGGTCCCAGGTTCAATCCCCGGCATCTCCAGTTAAAAACAGACAGGTGATGTGAAAGACCTCTGCCGGAGGCCCTGGAGAGCCATGAAGTGGGGCTGTAGCTCAGTGGCAGAGCCTCTGCTTGGCATGTAGAAGGTCCCAGGTTCAATCCCCGGCATCTCCAGTTAAAAACAGACAGGTGATGTGAAAGACCTCTGCCGGAGGCCCTGGAGAGCCATGAAGTGGGGCTGTAGCTCAGTGGCAGAGCCTCTGCTTGGCATGTAGAAGGTCCCAGGTTCAATCCCCGGCATCTCCAGTTAAAAACAGACAGGTGATGTGAAAGACCTCTGCCGGAGGCCCTGGAGAGCCATGAATTGGGGCTGTAGCTCGGTGGGAGAGCGTCTGCTTGGCATGTAGAAGGTCCCAGGTTCAATCCCCGGCATCTCCAGTTAAAAACAGACAGGTGATGTGAAAGACCTCTGCCTGAGACCCTGGAGAGCCATGAAGTGGGGCTGTGGCTCAGTGGCAGAGCCTCTGCTTGGCATGCAGGAGGTCCCAGGTTCAATCCCCAGCATCTCCAGTTAAAAACAGACAGGCAGTAGGTGATGTGAAAGACCTCTGCCTGAGGCCCTGGAGAGCCATAAAGTGAGGCTTTGGCTCAGTGGTAGAGCCTCTGCTTGACATGCAGAAGGTCCCAGGTTCAATCCCCGGCATCTCCAGTTAAAAACAGGCAAGCAGTAGGTGATGTGAAAGACCTTCCTCTGCCTGAGACCCTGAAGAGCTGCTGCCAGTCTGAGCAGACAATACTGACAGTGATGGACCGGTGGTCTGATTCAGTATACAGCCGCTTCATTATCTCATGTGCCGTTGGGCACTAAAGCTGCCTCCTGGTTTTTGGTCTGAGATGGACGTTCCTTCCGGGAGACCTTTTGAAGGTTGAGCTCCTGGAATGGGGGAAGTGGGGGGGGGGTTCCCTCCGTCTCTCTGCCAAAACAGAAGGGGGTCGTCAAGTGGCGTTGGCTCAGGAGCCCCGCTTTCTTTGCCTGGGGGCACCACACACGGCCAGCCCTTGGTTGTTTCCCCCCATTCTAGTCATCGAAGACCTGACGCACAAGACGGGGAACTTCAAGCAGTTCGGGATCTTCTGCAGCATGCTGGAGTCGGCCCTGACGCAGGTGAGGTTTGGCGCGGCTCAGAAAAAGCTGCTTGGGCAGAGACCTCGGGCAACGGTGGGGGGCAAGTGTGAACGAAAGACTCCGTCCCCGCGAAGGTGTGTCTGAACTCGGGCGGCTGCCTCTTCCTAAAGTGACCCTCTGCCGTCTGTTCCTTAGGTGAGAGCAGAGAAGCGCTTGGCACGCCTCCCTGTGCAGGCCCCGCCCCTTCTTGCGGGCGAGGGTCAGCGGGCCGAAGCGCTGCTCCTAAGGCCAGCCAGGAAGAAGGAAAATAGTCTTCAACCACAGCAGCATTTCTTCTTCCCAAGTCGGGCTTGGTTTCGGCACGGCTTCAGCGGAAGCAAAAGCCCTTTCATAGAATCCTAGAGGTTCTCCAGGGGTCATCTAGTCCAGCCGCCCTGCACAATGCAGGAAATTCATAAATGCCTCCCCCAGACACACACACACACACACACAGAGTGAGCAGTGTTCCCTCTAAGCTGAGTCAGCGTGAGCTAGCTCACAGTTTTTTAGCCTCCGGCTCACACGTTTTCGTCTCAGCTCAGGAAGGAGGGCTCCGGAGCAAACTAATTTATGCAGCAGCCAAATCGCTTGCTCACAACTTTAATGCCAGTAACTCACAAAATAGAATTTTTGCTCACAAGACTCCACAGCTTAGAGGGAACATTGTCCATACCCAGAAGAAGGCAAAAAGCCTCCAGGATCTCCAGTCAAACTGGCCTGGGGAAATGCTGATCACCACTTTGTGGTCAGGAAGCCTTTTTTCTCCAGGCTAGTTTGGCCGGGGATCCTAGAGGGTTTTTGTCATCTTCTGGGCATGGAGCCGGGGTCACTGGGATTGTGGGGGGAGGTATTTGTTAATTCCCTGCATTGTGCCGGGGGCTGGACTAGATGACCCTGGAGATCCCTTCCAATTCTATGAACAGCAGTGAGGCCTTCTTTATTTATTTTATTGTATTGTATTTATACCCCAACCTCCCCACGAACGGGCTCTTGTAAGCTTCCCTGAGGTTGGCTAGTATTGGGAACCGAATGCCCAGCAGGAGCGGGGATCCCTGACCTTTTTGAGCTTTTGGGCGCCAAATGGAATCTTCGGAGGGAGTGGAGAGCGCCGCCCCAAAATGGCTGTTGCAGAAGTCGGAGCCAAACACTAAAGGTGGCTGCCGCGTGGGACGGAGCCAAATGCAATACCTTCCCTCCCCGCTGTTCAGCCATGGGAAACCCTTTCCTCTGAAGGAGGGGAGCCAGTAACAAGCCCTGCCTTACAACGGCCCCGCTAACTTTCTGAAAACCCTGGTGGGCGCCCAAGGGAGTATTGGTGGGCACCACGTTGGGGAACCCTGGGTTTGGAAGGACTCTGGGTCTCATCCATCAGGGCTCCTCCAAGGGTTCATCCTCTTGAGCGGAAGGGACAATTATTACAGAATACCCACTCGCATGCAAAAACAAAACTGAAACTTTTTAATTTTCTTCTGACAATCGCACCTCCTAAAGGAAGAAATGCATCTTGTTCTTGCATTGGAGAGTTCAGTTTGTAACCTAGGACTTGCTTGTCCTCAGTGCACAGAAATTAGATCAATCTGATACCATATATATATATTTTAGAAATGATTTGGAAAATATTTGAACACCTGGTCTTAAAATATTTTATTCATCATGTTAAAATAAAACATTCCATAATCAATTTTTTTCCTTTTCTTTTTTCAATTTTTCGGGGGAAAAAAAGGTTTCGGGGAAAAAACGTTTTTTCCCCAAATTTTTCTGGTTTTTTTCCGGGCCTTCACATCTCTAGTCTTCACATAGTTCCGGGTGTCTTTTCCCTCCCACAGAGCAGTGAGTCGGTCACCCTGGACCTACTCACCTACTCGGACCTGGAGTCGCTGCGGAGCCGGAAGACCGGGGTGGGCCCAAGGCTCACGTCTGCCGCCAAAAGCTCCCCGCTGAGCTCCAAGCGCTACCTGATACTGATCTACTCAGTGGAGTTTGACAGGTGAGGGAGAGAACCAGAGCGTGGGGAAAGGGCGGTGCGAGGTTGGACACTTGGGGGGAGGGAGAAGCAGGTATAGGAAGGGGGGCAGAAGGAGGCGGGGGGCCTCCTCTCCAAGATCAGCGGGTGAGATGAGTTCAGCCCGTGCTGCACCGGCAGGCAGAAGCTCTTCCAGAGTTGCTAGCCGGCTTGACCTGGGGGAGGGGGGTCATGTTGTCCAGCCCGGAGGCAGTGGTCGGTTGGCACAGTGGAAACCAATAGGCTGAACACTGATTCCCTTCAGTGGGCGGGACCACAGAGGCGACGGAACCAAGTTAGAGTCCGGTGGCACCTTTAAGACCAACACAGTTTTATTCCAGGTGTGAGCTTTCGTGGGCAGGCACACTTCCTCAGATACAGTGAAGTGGAATTACAGCTCATAGTTGTATATATAGAGGCCGGTTTGTTAAATTGGCATGCAAAATAGGAAAGATGTTTTTAAACAGGTAAAAAGAGTGACAAGCGTGGCTTCTGGTTATTATCTGTTTGGGTTCAATTGGGGGGGGGGGGAACAACAGGTAATAAATGTGTCGTCTATAATTCCATGTCACCGTATCCGAGGAAGTGTGCCTGCACACGAAAGCTCACACCTTGAATAAAACTTTGTTGGTCTTAAAGGTGCCCCCGGACTCTAACTTGGTCCTATTGCTTCAGACCAACTCGGCTGCCCACCTTGATCTACCTTTATAGAAGGCACTTACAGAGAGGCAAGTCCGGGCAAAACGTAGCCTTGGCGCCCTCCACATTTCCTGCCGATAGACAACATTGCGTACTTAGGTAGATAAACTATCAGCATGGAATATATCAAAATGTTTAATACGTGGCATTCAGTGGTGGTGGATTTATCAATAGCCACAAGCACTGGCTCGCTGGATGGGTAAAATCAGCTTCCTGTTTGATTCTCGATGAGTCACCGTGTTAGTCTCTCTCGTAGCAGTAGAAAAGAGCAAGAGTCCAGGCGCACCTGAAGGACTAAAAATCCATGGCAGGCTCGGTGCTTTCGGGAGTCATGGCTCACTTTTCCAGGGCTCTTTTTGTAGGAAAAGCCCAGCAGGAACTCATTAGCATAATAGGCCACACCCAATAGCAGAAACTCATTAGCACATTAGGCCACACCCCTAACAGCACCACTCATTAGCATATTTGGCCGCACCCCTATGTTACCAGAAGTGTGGTCATCCAGCTACACCCACCTTTTGCTGCTTATTCTGTTTACCTTGTTTGTTGTCAAAACCCAGGGCCTTTTTTTTGTAGCAGGAACTCCTTTGCATGTTAGGCCGCACACCCCTAATGTAGCCAATCCGAATGAGTTCCTGCTGTTGGGTGTGGCCTATTATGCTAATGAGTTCCTGCTGGGCGTGGCCAACTCGGGAGCCAGTCGGAACTCCGTTCCTGTGCGTTCCTGCCCAGAAATAGCCCTGAAGAAGTGAGCAGCGACTCCCGAAAGCTCCGACCCTGCCACATATTTTGTTAGTCTTTCAGTTGCTCCTGGACTCTTGCTCTTTTCTACTGCTGTTTGATTCATCAAGCCACGGCTCTGACAGTCAAAGGGAAAAGGTCGGGTAGTTTTTGTCCACTAACCTTAGACCAAAACGTCAGTGGCCCACCCCCAGCTCTGAGGGTTTCCAGGGCTCTCCCCGCCACCCCCCCTTCTCTTCCTCAGTGCTCGAAGCGGGCTGTGAGCAATGCTCCCTCTAAGCCGTGGAGTCTTGTGAGCAAAAATTCTACTCTGTTGAGCAACTGGCATTAAAGTTGCGAGCGAGCGATTCGACTGCTGCATAAATTTGGTTGCTCTAGAGCCCTCCTTCCTGAGCTAGGACAAAAAATGTGTGAGCTGGAGGCTAAAAAACTCTGAGCCGGCTCACACTCAGCATAGAGGGAACACTGCACACCAGTTGTGCAGTGAGCGATTTGGCGGCTGCATAAACCAGTTTGCTCCGGAGCCCTCCTTCCTGAGCTAAGACAAAAAATAAACGGTGGCGGTGACCTGTGACTGTGTTTTGCGGCCTGCTGACAGGATCCACTATCCTCTGCCACTCCCCTACGTGGGGAAGCCGGACCCCGTCGTCCTGCAGAAGGTGATTCGGGAGCTGAAGGAGGAGCTGGCCATGCTGAAGGTGAAGCCGGGCAAGGATTTCCGGGACACCGAGATCCGCCGTCTCCGGGACGAGTGAGTGGAGGGGGGCGGGTGGGGGCGGGAGTCCGTTCCTCAATTTGAATGGGTGTGTGTGCGAATCCAGCATCCCAGAGGGGGGGGTCCCCAGCAATGCTCCCTCGAAGC